GATTAAGTAGAAGCGCTAATTCTAGGTTACTGAGTATGGCTTTGATGATTATAGTTATAATTGGAGAGTTGGGTTTTGGGTTTAGCTTTGTCTTTTTTGCTGATGGCATATCTTTACCAATGAAACTCAACTGATTAAGAGGCCGACGCACAAATGCCAGTCCTTAGACTGTGACTATGTTGAGCTGTGGAATACATGCTTGGGATCCAGCCTCACTCAACCTTAGATTTCACTGAAATGAAAAGCTAGCCTGAAGCCAGAAGCCTTACTGGTGTAGAAACTCTTTCCTCTGTGTAATTTGCAGAAAGTGAAGCCTGAATTTTGTCCCTCTTTAGCTCATAAGGACGGTGCCTGAGGCCTTACTTTTTAGAAAAAAATGGAGATTGCTTGTCAGTTCAGTAGCCAGTGTTTGCTCTGACCTTTCCCAATTGCACAGCCCAGCTCTTTGGCTTATCTTGGTCATGAACCGTATGGGGTAGCACTGCCTACACACTTGACAGCTACAGTTTGGGATTTGAATGGGCCTACTGTTTGAGAAACTGTTTTTTTATTAGACCTGATCTAATGTTTGCTTAATACTGGAAAGGTCCTCTCTGTACAGGCTCTAGTCCAGCGCGATTAAGAGCCACAAAATCTGTTTCAGGGAGACTACAGTTCCACCCCACCTCCCCACACAGAGGTTCTCCTTCTGTATAGTGGCTCTGATCTAAACTATTTTTGCTTTGTTTTTAAACTGAAGGAACGATATGACTTACTGCTATAAATGGACGTGGGTCTGACCCAGGAGCACTCGTTTATCGAAAAATGTGATCAGGAGAAAGTAGCAATAGCACAAAAATGACTTTGTTCTGAACATTTAAAAACAATTATGGTATTTTATGGCCTGGTGTGAGGAAATACAACAGATGATTACATTTTTTACAGCTCCGATCTGACCGTTTCACCTGTGTTCACCTACCACCGTCAATTAACGTTCCATGCTCCTTATCAACTTGCAGTCAACCATTCACTTTAAACTAATCTGCTTCAAAAAATCTTTCTATATTTATTTCCAAACCCATGCTTTGGACCTAAAACAGACTGATCTTTGGTACCGGTCAAGCAAAAATACTCAGGCTCCAACTTCTGGTAAATGTTTGGGGTAAGGTAAATTCATCTAGGCTGAAAATGTGCTATGTGTACTGTACTTCCAAGAAGCTGAAAAACTCTTCTCTCTCGTAAAAGTACTCTGTGCTTGCACTGCGACAAGATATGAGAAACTGCATCTTAAAATCATCATAAAAGAAAAGTAACTTGAAATATTTGTAAACATTTCTAGAATGTGTTAGTTAATCATTTTCCCTCTCTCTGCTGGTTGTACATTTAGAGTTATATAGCACAAACAGGAAGAAAGTTCAGGCTGCGTTGTACAAAGACTTCTGCTGACAGTTTTAAGAAATGAAGCCATGCTGAGCTGTAGTAAGGAAACCTTATGTCAGACCTCTCTCTCCTACATATTACCCTACTTAAAATAAATTTACATTTAAAGCCTGATATGAAACCCATTGAAGTTAGCGGAAAGAGTTTAATGCTTTTTGACTCCAATGCATATACAAGATTACATATTTGCTGATTCTATTTCTGTAACAGCTTGGCAGGATTTGCTATTCCTATACATTTTCAGCAAGTCTTCCTGCAGTTTCTTTTGTTATTATTTTTCCCCCTCATGATCACATCACTTGTCTTTTCTCTTCAGCATTTTCAAGAGCCTACCTGATTTTCCTACCAACTAGCAGCTTAATGCTCTTCTAAGATATGAGTTGTATGTGATTCTCCAAACCCACCAGTCTGGTTTCTGAATGCAGCTGTAATTGAAGACAAAATAACAAACAAACCATGAGTGCCATCCTTTGCAAAGTGTCCAAGTCAGAATTTCTTTCTTAAATTTTCTTAATCTTTGACGTTATACTGTATTTCAGTTTAAATTCTGGATAGAGATACATTTGCTTTGTATCTGCTATTGTTACCTCTTATTTTATGAATGAACAAAGGTTTTTTCCTGCAGCACACATTGCTGGAATGCAGTGTGACAATAATAGATGTTTGCAGCTTATATACAGTGGGTACTATTTCCTCTCTGGATAGCAGTTCAGAATAGCTTTTTACTTATTTTTGATATTTCCATAAGGCATATGCTTGAGAGTGTTAAGTTAGTATATTAACTACATGGTACCTTCCAGTGAAACGCACTTCTGAATCCTGTGATCTGATAAGAGATATACTGAAATTAAAACTGTACATTTGATAATTACAAGGGGTAGAGAGAAGGGAAATAAAGATTAGCAACATCCAGATGTTGCAGACAGCCCTCTTTTCAGTTAGCCAACCCAGAACTGGATTATTCTGAATATGGGGGTGTTTACAATCCCATTCTACTTCTAGAGTCCCCCCTACCTTTTTTTTTTTTTTGTCTCTCTTGAGCCCTTTTCCTTCCCATCTCTCCCAAATTTCACCCATCGTAAATTCTTAAGTAGCTTTGCAATCTCTAACTAGTGATGGAGAACTCAGTGTGATCCAGAATTTGGCACTGGGATGCTGCAGAAGTTTGTGGTCATCTCTTGCAAATCCAGTTGCTGAGAAAAAAAGACATGGTAATGAATGTCTAGAGAACAGTTGTATGAGCTGTGTTCTCTTGTATTACACAGCACCCACAAGTGCAAAGTCAACACTTGTCAACAGCTACCACTGTATGTATCTTACATATATTTACAGTCACCCTCGCTAGAGTATTGCAGATATTGTTGGAATATTTGTTTAAGAAGTAGCATCTTTTCTTTGCTTGTTTGTCTTTCTGATTTTAATGGTAGCTATGACACTACTTCTGGAAAGGAAACTAACACTACTTTGTTTTTAATGCTGAAAGACCTCTGATCCACTTACAGCAAAGCAATTGACAATAGCCAAGAAGTCCAAGATAACTGAAGAGATACTGCATTTTATGAGCAGCATTTTGATGTACAGACTACATTGGACAGGGCTAATGGGCTGCAATCCAATAGCCTCCTTTCTCCTCCTCCCCTGTAAATCTGATGCTGGGTGAAGATTTGATAATCTCTCATTCCCATTCAGTAAAAAATTAAATGAGGCACTTTATTTATCTCCCATCTAATAGGACTTAAGAACATACTGAAATGCTTTCCTGTATTTGTACCAGGAAAAGCAAAGCAGCACACTAAGGAGAATATAGCACCGTATCTGTATTGTTTCCACTAGGGCTGTCACCATGTCCTTCCCTTCCAGCTCGGTGTCCCTTCCTCTCCACATTGAAACAGGGGCCGTGATTCACAGCCCATTGCAATTGATGGCAATCTTGATGTTTTTAAACAGCCACTGTTTTTTATTATCAAAAAAAGGTTTCCTCCCACCCTTTCCTATGGTACCTCTGATCCTGCTGTTAGTTTCAGCTCTGATAGTCTAAGACCACCTCTGAGATCAGGAAGTTCTGAGCTACTTAATGCTGCAGCTGGAGAGTGTCAGAAACAACGGGAGAAAGGAAAAGAGCCTGACTTCTGCCTAATTTTGATATTTCTATAAGCCAGACAGAAAGACAGTGATGTAGAGCCATATAAATGGAGAATTTTAGTAGGTAAGATTCTGCTCTGGAGCTCTAGAAAAAGGGGTTCATTTCTCACATTTTCTAAAACAGTAGATTGCCACATTGATATATTTATTTTAGGCCCATCCCGTGAAACTTCAGGCACTAAAATGTGACAACTCCAGAGGCCTATTGAGATCTTTAGTGGCCTAAAGTTGCTCTTCCCAGGTACCCAGCTCTCTTTACTGACTGTATAGAGAGACCGAGGAGGCTATATTTCTAAACTAGGCATTGCCTGTTGGGGCTTTTGTGTGAAAATCCGACCCTGTGGATATCAATGGGGAATTATCTCTTCCTGCCCAGATAACTATTGAGCTGGGAGAAGTAGTTTCTTGTTACAACCATATAGCATAAATGCCTCTTTTCAATAATGGGGAATTGATCTGACAAGCTAATAGAAACTGCAGACTGTGTATGTCAACGGGGTGGGGGGGGGAAAGCAGGAAGGTAGGAAATGTCATTATTTTCTCATTCTTCAAATTAATACTTTGAGGAGTAATGTGGCAATTACTCATTATTCTAATGAACCCCTGCTCTTGATTATGATAAATACTAAATTAAATGATAATTTATCCTTTGCTTTCACTGCCAAAGTTGTCTGTATTGACAAGACACAATGAGACTTTTTTTTTAAATGGGAAACAAAAAGCAGAGGATTTCCTGCAATGCTGCAAAGTGCTCTGAGCTGGTGAGCCTCATGCAGGGATTCTTATGATAAAGCACTGCAGAATACAGTTGATTAGAGCATTGAATTAACCATGCTCTCGTGTGCTCTCTCTCTCGTCATCTTGTTCTTTCTTTCAGTCTTCTATTTCACCCTTTCAGCCTGCACATTATTATTTTCTTGTCCAAAAGAGAGATTATAGAACTTTTTTGAAAATTCAGCACAAATGCCGGCACTTGGCTTTAAAATCAGAAAACAAGCTCCAGTGCTCTGCTTCAGTGAGTCCCAACATGTCCTATGCGCCAGTAGCTTCTTCAGGCCAGACTTCAATAGTCTATGTAGATTAATTGAATACAGAATAATACAGAGCAGCCATATAAACCTGTGTTCCTTAGTATTTGTTGCCCAAAGAAATGCTGTGACTGGATCAGCAGCAATCAAACCTGAGACTTCTCTTTCTAAAAGCAGAGCTGAACTTAAAGACCCAGCACAGTTAGCTCAAAAGCGATAAAGAGGAATCGAAGCCATGGTTAAGGCCAGGTGTGTCTGCAGGCCTATGATGGGATGCAGACGCATATCCCAGTTTATGCTAAAGCTCCTCTCCCCACCCACTGCCCTTAGCCAGCAGGCACGCCAGGACTAGGTGCTACTGACTCCAGTTCAAACGACCAAGACTGCAAAAAAACATTTTGTGACAGCTACCTGAAGTCTCAGTGTTGCTATGAGTCAGATACTTTCTCTGGCTGGGAGGTTCTTCTGAAGGCTCAGAGGTCCACACACAAGTCAAAGTCTGAAGCTCAACTTCCTCAACACGAACCACCTGCTATGTGCATGACAGAAAAGGTAAGTCACTGGCAGTAAGGATTAATAGCAGGCTCTCTGGCTTAAATATTTGAATGAGCCTTCACTGTCTGCACTAACACATACTATGCCATAATGTGAAGGCTTTAAAAATTAAATCTCCGTGGAATTGTAATATAATCCTGTGAATCGTAAGCTATGCATGAAAATATTAAGAGTTTTCTGATTATAAAGCTGGTTATGCCCTTGGATATACCAGACTCTTCCTACCAAAGTAAGACAGGAAAGTAAATCTTAGAAGTAAATAATGTTCAAACTGAAGAATGGCGTATATTGCAAATATATAATTCATGTCATATACTTGCATTTATTTTGAGGTATAGGCAAGCCTGATTGATAGAATCAGCCCTTTATTTTCTAATACTGAGATGACATACACTGCTGCAATAAAGCAACGTGTCTTCTGAGGGCATTTCTGATTTAAGGGAAGCTACAGTAATAGTACAAATCTTGTGGATGCCAATATCAGGAATTATCGTACTGTACCTAATACAATTGAATATCATTTCAGACTTTTGAAATTCACTTTCTTGGTTCTGTATCTGAGGGGAGGATTCTGCTGGCCATACATAAAAGTTCATGAACAGACTGCATGTTGCCAGCTGGCAAAAATCCATTCTACTGTGACCTTCAGAATAGAAAGAAGATGTGTTTCCTTAGTTGGGGACTTCTCTTATCCCCATACAATATCCTAACAAGCAGGCTATGGATGATGAGTTAAATGAGGATGGTGCTCTGAGCCTCCTTATGGGCAGACATGATTCATATCAGCCACACAGTGCCTTTTCAGCTGCCATAGTAGGGACTATAAAAATTTGTCACTTACTGTCTCACCTCTCAAAGTTTCTCACCTCCTGCACGTTAAGTCTTGACCACACAGGCTTTCTTCTCCAGCCCTCACATGGACAGGACTGCTCTCGTTCACTCCCTGCAGTATGCTGAGCAAGGGCGGCCTAGTGGGATGTCCTTTGGACATGCACTTCACAGTTCCAGCATGGGGCTCCTTCAGAAGGCTTTAAGCTTCCATGACATTCAGCATACTTGTACATAACTAAAAACTGTGGCAGTGTATAAACGAGTGGAGTTAGTAACCTGCTGTTGTTCAAGTCTTTTACTCCAGGTGTTCATGCTACTCATATAATTGTACTTGCATTATCAGTAGCATTCTAGTAGGGTGTCTGATGCACAGTTTTGAAAAATAGCAGTCTTCCATGAAATCAGTATGTAGAGGGATGATATTAAAACTCTTTCCTTGGGTTTATTGGCCAGTAAATTTAGCATTTGTTGTTTAAGAAACATTGGTCTGTTTCTGCATAATCAATATTTAAATATTGACGCTTAATATATTAGGAATAGTTTTCTAATATCAACCTGCCTCTACTACCAAAAATCCAACATCCAACTAATGTAGTAAATACACTAAGTAAACCCTGTCTCTCTCTTAAAATTGTCAGTATTTAATTTTCCCAATTAAAACCCAACATTCTGCAGCAAGCAGTGGATGAAAACGCTGAACAGACCTCCCAAGCTTTTAATAACAATGAAAATAAAAGAAATAATAAAATAGATGTATTTTCTGCAAGGTTTAAACCACTATCACTTGAGATATATTTTAAGTTATCTGGGAGAATGTTATATTAATCCTTTTCTACTTACTTTTACAGAAGCATATAAACACATTTCTGAATAAAAATATATTTGTGCATGTGAAAATATCATGGCAAACCCTGCAACCTTATACCAACAGTGTCTAGAGTTGCTTCATTTTTGGAGGTGAAAGGAAGAACAACACAGAGCTTATATCTATGAAACACTTGAATAAGTCCCTTGTGATGGATATTTTAGAAAAATATTAACGAAATTCTCTTTCTCTTGCACAATTTGAAAGAGGGAACTTGTCTTCCTTCCAAAAATAGCATGTTTCAATAAAATGAATATAAAACAAGTCTACAAATAGATGCTTGTGAAAAACAAGTATTTTCTGCAGTGAAATTCTGTATCTAGGGAAGTTTATATGGAATTTGGTTTAAATACACTGGCAGAAATTCTACAAAGAATTTTGTCATTTACTAAAGTGATTAAGGTTGTGGTTGTAGGATTTGCTGTTGATGTTTCTTCAGTTAAATTTTTCCTTATGTTGCTTATAAGGTAAAATCATTTTGTAATTATCTGATAAAAATTTCTGACACTGCAGGAATATTGCCTTATATAACAAAATCAATAGCTTCAAGTATTATAAATGAGCTGATAACTTTGCCCTGAATAGTGGCATTTAAGAACTTCTCCCCATTTTCCCACAGGAATGTCACGAGTGCCCAAGCCCATGCTTTTAGTTCAATCCTTTATTTCCATACCCCTTATGAGACAGGTCTGCAAATGTGAGTCCCATCATAAATTCAGATCCCATTTCCTTAGAGGCTTAATTCATTACTTCACATGACTTGCTGAGAAGCGTAGTTTGGGCAAAATGGGGATCTACGGTTAAAAAAAAATCTTTACTTCAAGTTGTGATTCTTAGAGATAATTTTGCTTGGGGTCTCTGCATAAGTACAAAGCCCCGCTAACTCCCACGCATGACAGTGGCTCACCTATGCGGTTTTCTGCAAGGCTAGGGCTCACTTAAAACGGACCATTAGGATCCCAGTACCTGGTGTGAAGTAGCAGCTTGATTACAGTTCAAGTAAAACCTCAATAGTCTGGGGATCTGGGCTCAAACCCCATAACTCTACATGCAGCCATAGTTTACTGCCTACCAGGACCACGGCAAAATTAAATACATTTTGTTTGCTTAATGAAAAAAGAACATCCTGACACAGTGAACAGCACAAAAGTGACTAATTCGTCTCTATCTTCCCTACCTAGTGAACATTATTCATTTGCCCTGTTTGCTTTTCTAGAATATTTTTTTTTCCTCAGTCCCAAGCTATCGTTGTATATTGAGCTAGTCGTACGAGGTACGTACAGCAAAACCGAGCCAGTAATTTACCACTCACCAGTGTAACAAACTTCTCCCGGCTTTTGGTGAATTATCACTAAGCTGAAAACTTCCCTCCCGCCTCCTCCGGGCGCGTTGTGCCCCCCCTCCTCAGACTGCTCACCGCGCGGCTCAGGAGCCCCCAAAAGCAGCTCTTGGCCAGCGCCTCTCGCGCTGGGCTCACTCGGCGGGCAAACCCGCGTACAGCGCGCTTCTCTGCGCGTACTCCCGCCCTCGCCTCCCGCAGGG